CAAATGCCCTCCCCTGCCAGCCATCTTGTGGCTGTGGGTGCCACCATCTTTGAGGGCGTGACAGTCAATTAGCATATTCCATCCTTACTGGCTGTGGACACTGCCATCTTTGAGGGTGGGGTGGTCAATTAGCATATTTCCACCTTATTGGCTATGGGTACCGCTATCTTTGCCACTCATAAGAGTCAATTAGCATATTCCCTCTTTATTAAATAGGATAAGGGACATACAAATCCAAAGTACATGCCAAAACCAGTTTGGCTCAGTGGTAGAGTGTTGGTCTGTGGACTGAAAAGTCCCAGGTTTGATTCCGGTCAAGGGCATGTACATTGGTTGTGGGCACATCCCCGGTAGGGGGTGTGCAAGAGGCAGCTGGTTGATGTTTCTCTCTCATCGACGTTTCTAGCTCTCTATCCCTCTCCCCTCCTCTCTGTAAAAAATCAATAAAAAATATATTAAAAAAAAAAAAGTACAGTGAGATACCACTTCACCTCTTACTATCGTGTTTCCCCAAAAATAAGACATCCTCCGAAAATAAGACCTACTTACAGGTTTCCTTCTGAGTGAAATATAAGGGATCCCCCCGAAAATAAGGCCCCCCTAGGCTAAACATGAGAGATTTGGTCCACTGATTCTGAAAGAAATGGAGTCACAAGAAATTCATCAGGAATTTAGGAATTGGATTGTTATGATGATGTTCCAGAAGATGATGACATGATTGTCATTGAATAAATGAGTAAATTCTTGATACTGTAGGATTCAGTTTGTCTGGTTTGTGTTGACAACTACCGTACTACTGTACTGTATACAGGTAATAAATTTCCTTTATTTTCATTTAACAATAAATGTGTACCGTATTCTTCTTCATGGAAAAATAAGACATCCCTGAAAATAAGACCTAGTGCATCTTTGGGAGCAAAAATTAATATAAGACACTGTCTTATTTTCTGGGAAACAGGGTACAATGACCATCATAAAAAAAAGACAAACAATAATGTGACAGGAATATGGAGAAACTGGAATTCTCATACAGTGTTGGTAGAAATGTAAAGTGATACAGCTGTTGTGGAAAAGTTTGGGGGAGTTTCTCAAAAAGTTGAACATAGAATTACCACACACCCAACAATTTTGCCCATACATATATATTTGTAAGAGTGGAACAGCAATCTTTTCTGTCAAAGAAAGGAGCTCACTGCCATCTTAGGTCCTGCCATTTTGATATGACCTTCAGATTCTTTCAGGAGGCCACCATCTTGGGTTCTGAGATCTTGGTATGAACTTCAGGCTCCAAGGGCACCATCTTAGGTTCTGCCTTACCTTCCCCTTCCTCTGAATTAGCCAACTGCACAATAATGGGAATCCAAACTCTGAACCCTGACCAATCAGGGCAGACCCTGAGTCAGGAAATAAAACCCGATTGGACTTCCTGTCTGGTGTGCTTTTGCCCATGGTTTCCAGCTGGCAGGAGCACCCTTCTTCACAGAAGTAAATTTGCCTTGCCAATCCAGTTTCGAGTGTTTGTCTGCGACATTGTTGAGAGCATTTCATTGTTGAGACAATGACAATAGCCAAAATCGGTTTGGCTCAGTGGATAGAGCGTTAGTCTGCGGACTGAAAGGTCCCGGTTCTATTCTGGTTAAGGGCATGTACCCTGGTTGCGGGCACATTCCCAGTAGGGGGTGTGCAAGAGGCAGCTGATTGATGTTTCTCTTTCATCGATGTTTCTAGCTTTCTATCCCTCTCTCTTCCTCTCTGTAAAAACTCAATAAAATATATATTAAAAAAAAGACAATGAAAACATATGTTCATACAAAAACTTGTATACCAATGTACAGCATTATTCATAATAGACAAAAAATAGAAGAACCAAATATCCTTCAACAAATGAATAAACAAAAATTAGTATTATCTAGCCATAAAAATGAATGAATTGCCAAGACCGGTTTGGCTCAATGGATAGAGCGTCGGCTTGGGGACTGAAGGGTCCCGGGTTCGATTCCAGTCAAGGGCATGTACCTTGGTTGCGGGCATATCTCCAGTAGGGGGTGTGCAGGAGGCAGCTTATCGATGACTCTCTCTCATCGATGTTTCTAACTCTCTATCTCTCTCTCCCTTCCTCTCTGTACAAAATCAATAAAATATATTTACAAAAAAAAAAAAAAAAAAAATGAATGAATGAAGAACTGTTATGTGCTACAACATGAACTTTGCAAATATTATGCCAAGTGAAAGAAGCCAGATGCAAAAGCCACATGTTATATAAAACCATTTATATGAAATGTCCAGAACAGGAAAAATTCATAGAGACAGAAGTTGATTAATATTTTCCAAGGTTGAAGAGAGGAGAGAATAGTGAGTGAATCCTAAGGGATATGTGGTTTCTTTGGGAGGGAGGGGGTGTATGTGAAAATATTCTGGAATATTAATAGTGATGATGGTTGCACAACCTTGTGAATATACAAAAAGTCACAGAATTGTACATTTTTATTTATTTATTTGTTTGTTTGTTTGTTTGTTTTAATTATTTTATTGATTTTGTACAGAAAGGAAGGGAGAAAGATAGAGAGTTAGAAACATCAATGAGAGAGAGTCATCAATCAGCTGCCTCTTGCACATCCCCTACTGGGGATATGCTCACAACCAAGGTACATGCCCTTGACCGGAATCGAGCCCGGGACCCTTCAGTCCCCAAGCCGACGCTCTATCCACTTAGCTAAACAGGTTTTGGCTGAATTGTACATTTTTAAATGGTTAATTTTATGATGTGGCAATTATTTTTCAAGAAAAATAAAATTTTAAAATTGATTATATTATGGAGCAAATGGGATAGAAATAGCCCCACACGAGGACAGAAGTGCAAAAATTATTCAATGGAGAAAGAATAGTCATTTTAATAAATAGTGCTGGTGCAATTGATTATCCATAGGCGAATAAACCAACCAACCAACATTGACTTAAACCTCATACTTAATCCCTGAGTGGTTTGGCTCAGTCGATAGAGCATCGATGTTTCTAACTCTCTATTCCTCTCTGTAAGAAATCGACAATATATATATTTAAATTAACCCAAAATGCACAATAGATTTAAATGTAAATGGAAAACTATAAAACTTTTAGGAAAAACATAGAAAAAATGTTTAGGAACTACAGCTTGGTGGAGAGTTCGTGGGGATGACACTAAAAACATGATTCAAACCTGACTAGTTTGGCTCAGTGGATAGAGAATCGGCTTGCAAACTGAAGGGTCCCGGGTTCGATTTCAGTCAAGAGTATGTACCTTGGTTGCGGGCACTTCCCCAGTAGGGGATACGCAAGAGGCAGCTGATCGATATTTCTCTCTCATTTATACACACACACACACACACACACACACACACACACACGATTCATAAAAGGAGAAAAATAAATAAATTAGACTTCATCAAATTTCAGTCTAGTGATCTGTGAAGGACCCCATTAAGAAGATGAAAGGTTAAACTAGAAACTGGGCAAAAGTATTTGCAAACCAGATATTGATAAAGGACTCGTATCAAAACTCAACAGTGAAAACAAGCAGTCTAATTAGAAAATGGACAAAAACACAAGAGACATTTCACCAAGGAGGATATATGGATACCAATATATGAGAAGAAGTTCCATATCACTAGCCAAAAGGGAAGTGGAAATTATGACCACAATGATTTATCACTACTCACCTATTAGAACAGGTAAAATAAAAAATGATGACAATACCAAATGCTAGCAAGAATGCCCAGAAGCCAGATCATACATTGTTGGTTGGAATGTAAATTGGCACTGCACTACTCATTAGTGAAAACCAATGAACTACTGACACACAACTTGGATACAATAAAAGGTCAGATATTACTAGTATAGGATTCCATTTATATAACCTTCTTGAAATGACACAATTATAGAGGAGAACAGAGTAGTGATTACCAGAGGTTAATGATGGTGATGAGGTGAGGAGTGACTATAAAGGGACACTATTTGGGAGATCTCTGTGATGGAATACTTCTGTATCTTGGTTGTAACAGTAATTACACAAATCTACACATGGATAAAATGATAGAACTACACAAACACTATACCAATATCAATTTCCTGGGTCTGATATCTACACTAATAAAAGAGAAACATGCAAATTGACCATCACTCCACTACGCCCATCAGCCAATCATAGTGAATATGCAAATTAACCCAACAAAGATGGAGGTTAATTTGCATATGCAGGCTCGGAGCAAAGACTGAAGAGAGCATAGAAGGAAGAGGGAGGGAAAGGGGAAAGCAGGGTGGAGGCGGAGGCGGGAGGGAAGCCCACCTCAGCAGGCTTCGCTCCCTTCTCTGCTTCGCTCAGGCCACAGGAAGCCCTATTCTTGCAGGAATCTTCCTGCAACGGATCTCTAGTTATAATTATATAAAATGTAACTCTTAGGGGAAACTGGGTAAAAGATACACCCAAATTATCTGTACTATTTTTGAAACTTCTTGTGAATCTATAATTATGTTTTAAATTTTTCTTTAGGCTATATAGACACAGGCACTTTAGGGTTGGTAGGTAGATAAACTCATGTTTATTAATAATACCTTATGAGAAAACACTACCAAATATGGAGGCAATTCACTTACCCAGCACCATCAGGCTGCAAGGGTTACACAAAACTTTCCAAGTAACAAACTTACCTGTCCAAATGACATTAAAACATTTAATGGGCATTTTGCCAAAAGGTATTATACTTGTCCATGATTATTTGACACAAAAACATAAAGGTAGAATTCAACACCAGGGTCAGTTCAGGGGTTGGGGACCTACCAGGAAGTCAGCTGTAAATGTTGGCTCAGTTTTGCCCACTAAGGATCCATCCCCAGTGCGGGGCGTGCAAGAGGCAGTTGATCTAGTCAAGCATGTTTCTGCTGATGTTTCCATCTCTCTATCCCCTTCCCTTCCTCTCTTTCTAAAAATCAATAAAAACATATTTTAAAAAATATTGACTGTTTCTTTTCTTTGAAAACAACAACTCAGGTTTATTGAATAAGAATGTTTATGAGCAAGTCAGATCTTTACAAAAAAAACCTTCGTCAAAGAAAACTCTGGTAGAAGATACCTTTCCTCCCCACCAGGCCCACGGAGCCTTCTTTTGAAGAAATTCTCCATGCTCTGCCAAGGACAACAGGCTCGAGAGAGGGTTCAGGTGTCCTTGGACTGAAAATTCAGCAGTGTCTGATTTTGTTGAGCTTTCAGTAACAAAATATATCTTCGCACCCAGTTTTCCTTTGGTTGTGCACAGACTTTCCGGCCTTTTTTGGTAGTGAATCTGTGGGAAAGAGATGCTGACCGTCAATACTGAGGCTAGCCTCCTGGAAAGGGATGGAGGGGCAGCCGCCTGACTCACATTCCAGCCTTCCCACACCCCCCGTCACACGATCCCCGCGCCCTTTTCTGGCCCTTGCCTTCCCTCCTGTCAGATATATCACTTCCCACTGGAAATCACGCTCCCAGGCCCACCTCCCTCAGGAAACATTTTCCACCCACTCTAATCCAAAGAACGTAACTTGTACCCTGCCTCTTAACTCTTTTGTTTTACTCGAACAGCTTTACTGAGATATAATTCACACACTCATCCTATATAATAAAAGCCTAGTATGCTAAGTGTCTGGTCATCAGCCAGCTGTTCAACCAATCAAAGTGTAATATACTAAAAACAAACAAAAAAAGTATAATATACTAATGATATGCTAAGGCCACTCAACCACTTGCTATGACGTGCACTGACCATCAGGGGGCAGATGCTCCCAACTGGTATGTTAGCTTGCTGCTGGGGCCCAGACAATCGTGACTGAGCAAGATAGGCCAGACACACCCTGGAGCCCTCCCACAGTCCCTCCCCGGCTGGCCAACCTCCCACGCCCCTCCCTGGCCCCGATTGTGCACTGGTGGGGTCCCTTGGCCTGGCCTTTGCCCTCTCACAATATGGGCCCCGTCGGGGGATGTCAGAGAGCCAGTTTCGGCCCAATCCCGCAGCCAGGCTGAGGGACCCCATTGCACAAATTCATGAACCGGGCCTCTAGTTTAAAGTATATAATTATCACTCAATGGTCTTTAGTATATCCATAAATGGTACAGCCATCACCACTATCAATTTTAGAACATTTGCATCATCCCCCAAAAAGAAACCTTATACACATTATGCCACTTAATTCATAACCACATTATCATGGGTTGTTTGCCCTGATTCCTGCATTCCTTATATATGATTCCTGATTTCCACTGGGATCTCACTAAGAAGGGGGTTGTGGTTAATGTCCCTGAATCTCCTCCAGCCTCATGCACCCCGAGAGTCAGACACAGGAGAGCACAGATCGGGTCGCTCTAGCCTGGAGCACCTTGCAGCACCCAGCAGTGTTTCCAGGGCTCTCAGGAGGGCCCCAGAACACACAGGGGAGAAAAGCCAAGAGAATGGAAAAGAAGAGAGAGGAAGGACTTTCTGGACATCTGAGAGCATGCCATTGCTCCTATTGAAAGATGGAGGTCTATGTTCTCACCGCTTGAATTTAGGCCAGCCTTAGTGGCTCGTCAATCAACAAAGTATAATTAACACACCAGAGGTGACACTGTGTGGCTTCGTAGGTTAAGTCAGAAGAGATGCTGGAGCTTCTGCCTGGTTTACTGGATCACCCGTGCTGGAGCCTTGAACCACCTTGCGTGGTTTTTTTATACTACCCCAGATCACCGTACTGTGAGGGAGCCTGAACTAGCCCAACAAAGAGACCACACAGAGAGGCCCTGAAGAGAGAGATGCCATGAGCCCCAGCTGTTCCAGCTCCAGCCCCATCGGACCACAAACACCCAGCCAATCCCTCTGGAATTTTGGACCCACAAAAACCATGAGAGATGAGAAACTGGTCGCTGTTGCATTAAGCCCCTAAGTTTTGGGGTCATTTGTTATGCAGCCATAGATAACTGATAGGAACCTCTCCCCTTCCTTTTACAGGAAACCTGACTTGCCCAAGGTCACACAACTTGTAAGTGGCAGAGCCATTGCTTTGAGTCCAGCTCAGGGCTCTTTGCCAGCTGCTGGTTAAGTGTTGCTCTAAAGCACCAGAAAGCCAATTGAGACACAAATGAGGGGCCCAGGGCATCCTGAGCCACACAGAGCCCCTGTCCATATCTAGGCGTGAGTGTCTCTTTCCCCTCTTTAACTGTCTCAAAATGCTGGCATTCAGGTTGGCCTCCAGAGCCCCTTCTTCCCCTCGGCACCATTCTCTCATGCCAAGGGGAGCAGTGACCTGAGAAGTTTTTGTTGAATCTTGGTAACTTGGGTGGTCACCCTACCTCTGCAAGTGGCAGTGATGTGCCCAAACTCTGCCACTTACTCAACATTAGTTGAACATTCACGGTGTGTAGACACAGCAGTAAACACTTTGCATATAGTAGCTCATTTAGTCCTGCCAGGGAGCCTGTGAGATGTGTGCCATCACTCCCGCTACCAATGAGCCCGGCATGACCTGGCTCCTATATACCTGTCTGCCTGGTCAGTAACATGTTCATCCTCCTTCCACTTGCCTGCTGTTCCCTCTGCCTGGTACACCCACGCTCCTTCCTGCCCCCTTTACCTAGGCCACGCCCACTGTTCCTGACGGTCTCAGTGTAAATGTCCCTTCCTCAGGGGGGATCTCCTGACATTGAGTGAGGTCCTCCTGTGACTATGCTACAGAGTGGCAGAATAGGCTGCGGCAAATATGCCACTTTGGCATAAAGATTATTTTGAGCTAAAGGCACTTAAAAATAAACCTGGTACAAGAAGCGCTCTCTGACCTCCTCCTTTCTTCCTGGAAGCAGGAGATAAAAACCCCTCTGTAAAAAATGTCTTCCCAGTACCAGGAGGAAGTAAACATTTTTGTTACCAGAAATAGGGAGTCAAGGCCAAGAGAATTCTGTAGAAACAGAGCTTGTTAAGATAACTCTTATCATCCTTTACGGCCTACCCATACATTTTGGTTACTTTTCCACAATTGCCTCTCTTTATTTTAGTATAAATGCATTTAAGTTTTGCCACTTTTGGGAGGTAGTCATTTTCCTATGAGGGCTGTATGTAAAGTCTATGAGGGCTGTCTTGTTTGCTCTTTAATACTCAGCACTTAGCACAGTGACTGGTACATGCCTGGCACAGGATGTGGAAGTTAGGAAACCAATGCTCAGAGTCACACTTGTTAGTGGCAGAGGAAGGATAACAATCCAAGTTCCCAGGTTCCTATCCTGGCACTGCAGGGGCCTGCCTTGCACCTACCCAATTACACGGCTGTCAGGGAACCTAACACCCAGAGGAGAAATACTCACATCACAGCCTTCTGGGTGCAGCTGCTCCTAGTGAATTCATAGCTTTGCACCAAGTTCCAGGGAAGGGTCCTTTGGCTGAATTGTAAGCAGCAGATTTTGGCCACATCACTGCCACCTAAAAAAGCAGCGAAAGGAAGGAGGTTGGAGACACCCCTTTGCTTCTACTCCCAGTCATCCCAGAAAGGGAGTGGGGCAGCTACATACGTGGGGCAGCTCCAATACAGACACTCAGGATGAAAAGGAGGAGAACAGGGGGAGCCGTGGGGAAGCTCTTCATGGTGCTGCAAGCCCTTCACAGCCTTCTCCCAATGCCTCCTGTCCTAACAGGTGCCCTTTTATGCGGCCCAGTGGTCCCTAAAGATAATTCCAGATAAAACGAGTAATCTGATATCCTTGAGAAGATTGAAAAGTGAGACAATATCATGGGAGGAGCCGGCATGCAAGTGAGAGCTTGACCCAGTTTTATGTCACCATTTTCTCCTCTAAAAACAAATGAGATGAGTCAGGCTCTTGATGGAGACTGTGAATGGGCAGGGACCAGGAATCTATACTTTAGCCAGAGGTGGCTGACACAGAGAAAATGAATTCTCAAAAGGGGAAGGGACTTTTGCCAAAAAAGTCTTAGGGAGGGGTTGATGGGGTTTTCAGATCCGTGTTTTATGATTATCTATGCTCAATTATTTTAAGTCCTGATATGATCCAAGGCTTTAAAATTCTGAAATTGAGATTTAAAAAAAGAAGAGGAAAAAGAAAAAAGGGGGGAAAAAAAAAAGGCCACTCGCTACTCATCTTATTCTTGTCCCAGCATTAAGAAGAGGTTCAGCAATCTGGAGAAATCTGCATAGATTATAATACATAGGAGTCCAGAAATAATAGTTTTGAAAGGCATTGGGGGTCAGAGGAACTTCAGCTAAAGGAGCTAAAGATTCCCCTTGACTCAGAACCCTTGTTTTTTATTCACACAATTTTTCCTAAGGCAAGGTGTAGATAATACACTTCAAAGGGTAGGTTACAGAAGCATTGACAAATTGGGGACTATCCTACAGCTATTCAGGTGTTTGGCCAACAGGAGGCAATAACATGTAGATTAAGATGCCCTGAGCTGTCTGGCAGCAGACAACCATCCTATTCAGGTTTGGAGGAAGTGTCCTTTAGACACGCCAATAGGTAATTACATATGTGGCTCAGACCTTATTGAGCCCCCAAGTTTCATCAACCTTCTGATAAAACTCTTGTAATTATGACATGTTGGAATTGGCTCCCGGCAATTTTGAACCATAGACTTTTTCCAGGCTACCTGGCATTTTTCAAACACATCCCAGACAGTTTTAACTATTCTGAGTGACAGAGAATTCACCTTTGAACTCAGCTCAACCTAGGACAGATCTGAAGGTGTGTCAAAAAGTTTTCTTACATTCTTTTCAAAATTTGACCAAGCTGGTGTGGTCCAGTGGCTGACCCATGTACCAAGAGGTCACTGCACATGCCTAGGTTTTGGGCTGCATCCCCAATAAGGAGGGAGGGGGGTGGCGAACAGCTCCTCTAAAATCAATAAACAAATATATTTTTAAAAATAAATTTAGCTGAAATCTATATTCCCATTGCTTCTACGTATTGGTCTAACTCTATACAAAAATGCCTAATTTCTCTTTTCTTCTTGTGGAAGATGAGGAAATTGAGATTTCAGCAGATTTGAAGATGGTTGTTTTAGTTTGAGTTCCCCTAGAACAGGCCCTGAGACAAGGATTCCGGTGTAAGTCATTCAGAGGGAGGTGATTCCTGAAGACGCCATTAGAGGAGGGGAATGCCACGGTGGGAAGAGCCAGTGCCAACATGAGGTGTGTTATGCAGCGGGCAGCAGCTAGCTCAGGCTCAGTTCCGCATGGGGGGCTGGAAGAGGGTCAGAATCTGAGTCAGCTCAATAGTTGGCTGAGGTAACAGAGATATTCACCCCCAGCTCTCTGGTTGGCATTGATTGAAGGCTGTGTCCCATATTCCTTGTCCTCTGAGCAGACTGATCTGTGATTAGGAAAATGTCTTTTATGCTGAGTCCAGGGGGTCCTCAATGAGCAGTCTTTGGGAATGATGAGGGGATATGGGTGGGATAGCAACAACTGCTACAACCATTTTCCTGTTTGCCCCTGAATATTCTCTTCTTTAGGCTAAACTCCCTTAATGCCTTCGATTTATCTGCAACCATCCTACTGGTCACCTTTGCACACCAGTTTCAACTTTAATGAACAGGTATAGTGTGCTGGGAACCCTAGTGTTTCATAAATGGGATACATAAACACTATGTATAAAGGGCTGACAGTAGTTGATAAATTGGACTATATATAATTTGGAACTTTAATCCCTTAGAAGACACCAATAAGAGTAAAAGGTGCCCTGGCTGGTTGCTCAGGGGTTAGAGCATCTGCCTGCAGGCCAAAGGCTCCCAGGTTCAATTCCCTGTCAAGGGCATGTACCTCGGTTGCAGGTTTGATCCCTGGCCCCAATTGGGGCACGTGGCATGCAGGAGGCAACCATTTCATGTGGCTCTCTCACATCAATGTTTCTCTTTCTCTCCCCCCCTCCCTCCCCTTGCTTCCCTCGCTCCACTCTCTCTTTCAGTATAAATGGAAAAAATATCCTCAGGTGATAATTTTAAATAAGAATGAAAGGTAATCTGCAGGTTGGAAGATTTTTGCAATTCGTATGTACTGGGTTGAATCGTGTGTTCCCCCATCCCCAACCTCCCTACCCCCCAAATTCCCAAATACCCAGAACTTCAGATATGAACTTATTTGGAAAATTGGAACTTGCTATAATTAGTTGAGGAGGCTATATTGGATTAGGGTGGGCTCTTGAGATACTGCAATTTGTAATAAATATATGTTTGGTCTGCATTTCCATGGCACACAGCTCCTAAACCCTCGTAATTTTCTGAATGGGGAGCATCTTTTGTGATACTATTTGGTCTTTTAACCTCAGTCTTGAAATAGCACCAAAGTGATAAAGGCAAGAGGGGTGTCTTCTTTTTTGTAACAAACCCCTTTCAACCACACCCGTCTATAGTATTAATCATCTAAGCTTTGGAAAGACCCAGGTGACCACAGGATGAGGAGTGGTTGCCAGGGAAACCAATCTTGTGATTAGAAAGTTGACATTTTCCAGCCCACCCCCCAATCTCCAGAGAGGGGAGAAGGGCTGGAGGTTGAATTAATCTCTAGTGGCCTATGATTTAATCAATCTTGCCTACATATGAAGCCTCCATAAAAATCCCTAAAGAACAGAATTCAAAGATCTTCTTGGTTTGGTGAACATATGGAAGTCCTAGGAGGGTGGTATGCCCCTTTCCCAGCCTTTATCCTGTGCATGTTTTTCACCTGTCTGTTCCTGAGTTATAGACCTTATAAGAAACTGGTGTCTAGTAAATAATTCTGTTTTCCCGAATCCTGTGAGTCACTGTAGAAAATTATTGACCCTGGGAACCTCTGACCTAATTGGCATCTGAAGTTGGGGCAGCCTTGTGGGACCCAGCCCTTAGTCCATAGCATCTGATATTATCTTCAGGCAGACAGTGTCAGAATTGAGTTAAATTGTAGGATACTCATCTGGTGTGTGAGAATTGGTGGGTGTGAGAAAACCCCTCCCACATCTGGGGTTAGAAGTGAAGTATTGAGAGTAGCATTGTAGTGAGTAGACAGAAAAAAAACCACAGAAGAGTATCCTTATAAGAAGTTCATTTGAAGAGACAGAGACTCAGGGAAGAAGTCCAAGCAAGGGCAGAGGCAGAGGTGGGAGTGATGCATTTACATAAGCTAAGGAGCGTCAGGGATGGCTGGGAGCCACCAGAAGGTAAAAAGAAGAAGGGAGGATTCCTCCTGAGGGCCTTTAGAGGAAGCACAGCCTAAGCTTTAGGCTCTCGGGTTCCATTCCCATCCTAGGGCACAGGTTGCAGGTTTGGTCCCCAGCACTGGTCAGAGTGGTGTGGGAGGCAACCAATTGATGTGTCTCTCTCACGTTGATATTTCTCTCCTCCTTCCCTCCCTGCTTCCCTCCTTTCCTTTTACTCTCTTAATAATTAATGGAAAAAATATCCTCGGGTGAGGAGTAACAACAACAACAACAACAAAAAGCAGAAGAAGAGATACCAGGATCCACACAAACAGAGAAAAGGCCATGTGAGGACACAGCAAGAAGGGGGCCGTCTGCAAGGCCAGGAGAGAGGCCTCAGGAGAAACCAGCCATGGGCACCTGGATCTTGAACTTTCAGCTCGGGAACTGTGTAAAAATGAATTTCTGGCCCGGCTGACATGGGCTGGTGTTAAGCGTTGACCTGTGAACCAGGAGTGCAGGCTTGACCCCCAGTGTGGAGGGCAGGAAGCTGCCTACAGATGATTCTCTTCTCACTGGTGTTTCTGTCTCTTTTCTTCTCCCTTCCTCTCTCTGAAATAAATAAAAACACATCTCTAAAAAATAAAATAAAAACCCCTCCCCTCTGTTCTCCCAACCTGCCCATAACAGTTTGCTTTATCCCGAATTGCAATTCTTTTGCTATTCCCAAATAAATACGTTTTGCTGGTAAACTAACTGGCTCTTTTTGTTTGTTAAGGTCTACAGGTCTAATAGAAGCAGGGTAGAACCTAGAAAAGAAAAACATGTTTCCTGGAATTAGAAAAAGGTAAATCCCTTTTGTTTGTAATCAGTTACTCCATTATCCCCACTTCTATCCAAGGAAACTGAGGCTCAGAGAGTGAGGTGAGGTGAGGTGAGTGTCTCAGGGTCCTGTCCCCTGTTCTCCTTATCCTGAGAAAGGGGCCTCAATGTTTGCTTGCCCCAGTAGCAAAAACTACTCTGTACTTAAGTGAGGATCAAAGTAGTAAGGTGCCATACTTGTAGAGATGGCAGAGGCTGTAAACTTTCAATGAGCCGAAACAAAAAGAGAAATGCTATTCGTCCCATGACTCACAGCATCCAGAACATGGAACAAATAGCTGGTTGCCTGGGAGAAGTTACAGCTCTTCCCAATTCTGAGTTCCCAGAGAAGTCCAAGTGAGTCTCAAAGGGTCACTGTGCCCGGGTCACACCCTGCCGCATCCTGCCAGAAGTGTACATTCCATTGGGCTTATC